CGCTGACTAGTTGGCTAGCCGAGCTCCACAGCGTGCGCGGCCTCAATATCGGAATTGCTACCTCAACACCGGCAACGCAACGGCTGTAGCATGTGGAAGTTTGTCGTGTTCGTCCTGCCAACGTGTCATGCAAGTAATTTCTTTTTCCTGAACGCTCGAAACCAATTGTCTGTGAATGTGAAAATGCCCCCCCCCCCCCACCGCCAATGGTGTTTTGTTTCCGACTAGGTTGTTATCGGCTGTAGTTTATAAGTAGAATTGTACTATACTGTATACTAGTTTGATACCGTCTTGCCGCTATGTGCAGCCTGCTGTTATGTTTGCTGTATTCTTCCGTTTCCAGTTTTATTTGTTGAAGTAAATAAGTTGATATTTCGTGTCTGTTTTGGGACTGTATAGTTACATGTAGTTAAATGTAGTTACATGTAGTAACATGTATATTCATTTTGCCTATTCTGCAGTCATAGGCGTGTGTTAACCGCATTGGCCTCGCTCTTTCCTCCTTTCTTTTGTTCATTTGGCTTATGCGAAGACTAGCGAAGTTCGCTTGGTGATGTGAACGCGAACAAGCATAATAGAGAGGTTCCGCATCACGTAATTACGTTTTTTTTAAACGTAGTCAATCCACGGAAAGTCTAACGTAAACTGCATGCGCATCTGTTTTCCGCCATACCGAGTTTGCAAACTCCGAACGCGGCAGAGTACGACCAGATCGACCTGGGAAGAGAGTCATAAATTCGTACCAAAATCCGCTTACGGACCAGCTACGTTAAGGGGGCAGCCTACCCATAAATTCCATATGGCATTCAATTCAGCCACCATGTCCACAACCCTTGATAAACTGCAGGCTACTGCTGCTAGAGCATACTTAAGAGAGCATGTCTGAGAATACCAAAGTATGTGTGCAAGTGGATCTCTCCGATTTCGCTCAAAATTTGCAGGTAGGTTCCCTTTGGGGTGAGGATCGATTGTGCAAAGCCCTTGAAAAAGTTTCTGAAGGGAACCTTGAAATTTGGATACCCCTCAGAAATGGCCGAAATATAAATATCTTTCTCTTCTGTCTGTCAGCGCTTACTGTCACCCAGCGCTAGGTGCAAGCACCCCCTGGCAGATTCGTACTACATTGTTCTACTTGATAATTTTATTGTTCTATCAAACTTATTCCTTCGTTGTGTTCGAACTGTTTTTGAATTATTTTCGTTTCTTTCTTGCCATTTGCCAGCTGCCAAAGTTTGCAGTCGCAGAAGCGCCATTTTTGAATAATTATTATGTCATAGATCATGTGATCACGAGCGATTGTTGCTAGCGCTAGATCCGCGGATCTGGTAGTGGTACGCATGCATACGTGTAGTTTGACTTGCCTGCGATAGTTTTCTGTGATCTGCTGTTTTGCACTGGAACCGCACTTGTACTTTTAACCTCCTCACACTTCTCCTTTTGGCAATGCGTGTCCTAAATCTCTCCGCGAAGTTTCCGCTGGTCTCGCGCGCAGTTCTCACGCACCGTGCGGCGCAGCACGGAATTTTGCACCTGTTTCTTTTCTTGTATCCTTTTCTGGTTTCCTAGCACCTTTTCAGGACTGTTCCTCTGGGCAAGAAGTAGCCTTGTCTTGGTGGCTTTCTTGTTCATGGTAGAGTTTTTCTTTGGTGCTCATGGCGTTTGCTTCGTCTTTCGCGTATTATTATCAAATTTACACGATCGTCATGTACTAAGCACAGCTTTGGAGTGTTTTGGACTGTTGGCGAAATTACATGGTCCTTCGAGCCTGATTTCTATTGGAGAAATCAAGAACGAACAGCACTAAAGAGTTCGTACGGGACGCTGCTGAGTCACGTAACGAAAGTGTTTCGAATCGCGATCGTTTCAACGTTGGGTGGAAGATCGTTTGGTTTTTTTAGTCATGTCCGTCAGGCGAAGCCGGCGGGAGTCACGACGACCGAACTGGTACGGCGTCGACGCGGACATGGAAACGCCCGAGCCCTCGGTGAGGGAATATTCAGTTGCTCCGTCACTCGTGGAGTCTGTTACTAGTAGTGTTAGTACCGTACGCAGGGCGAAACTGGCCGCACAACTCGCCTCTGAGGAGAGACTTGCCGATTTACAGCGGCGACAGCACCAAATTGAGTTGGAGAGTGCTGAAAAAGTCGAGGCTATCAGAGTTGAGATGGAGATGGCGGCCATAGAGGAAAGAACGTCTGGTGAGCGTAACACGCATATGGGCACACCGACAAATTTGGCACCTACACCAGCACCTCGAGCCAGAAGTGCGCGTGGGCGTTTGGATAAACGGTCGCCGCCGCAGAAACCACCGTCCATGCGGTCAGCGGTCGGCACTGTGGCAGAGAGTGAGGCAGCATCCGTAACCTCTCTGCACCAACAGCTGGATGCACTGCAACGAGAGCACCAGCTTAAAGAGCGTGCATACCAGGCAATGCTCCAGCGTCAATCGGAACCGGTCGAACAGTTGGCATCAGCTTTGGGGGCTGCCATGAAGGCCATGGCGCCTAACAGCACTGACCATATGAAGCGTTTTGTCGTTCGGCAGAGTGCCCACAAAGAGTTGCCACTGTTCTCTGGGAGCCCCGAGGAGTGGCCCGCCTTCCTAAGCTCATATGAGCGGTCAACAAGGGTGTGTGAGTTTTCACCAAGTGAGAACATGGCTCGGTTGGCAAAGGCGCTAAAGGGAAAGGCGCGAAACCTTGTGGCGGGAATGCTGACAGTTCCTGACAATGTTGACCAGGTGATCAGCATGCTGAGGCTCAGGTTTGGCAACCCTGACCTCATCATCCAGTCGCTCATAAAGCGCACCAAGGAATTAAACAGCATTAAAACAGTGGATCTGGAGAGCATAGTCGAGCTCACCAGTGCTGTACGGAACCTGGTAAGCACCATGGAGCTGTTGGAGGAGACGGATCATCTCGCGAATCCGCAGCTCCGCCAAGACATCGTGGCACAGCTGCCAAACGAGCTGCGCCTCCGCTGGGGAGAGCATGTACAGAGTCTTGGTCGCCGTTGCACGCTGAAAGATTTGTCAGAGTGGCTGACAGAGCGTGCGGTTGCAGCTTACCATGTGAGCCCACCAATCATAGGCAACACCAACACCAGCGGTGGAGAACAGCCGAAACGGCGGGCCGGTCAACTAATGGCGACTATCTCCGAATAGAAGCGCAAACCAAGGGCATGCGCCTTCTGCCAGAAAGCCGGCCTATCAGTTTCGTCCTGCAAATCATTCAAGGATGTGAGCCAGAGTGAACGGCGTAAGTGGGTCCGGTCTGCAAACCGGTACTACGTGTGTCTTGGGTATGGGCATGGTGCACGAAACTGCCAACGGAGCAAGCCATGTAGCGTAGGTGGCTGCACGAGTCTTCACCACCCTCTGTTACATGTGCAGAACTATGATCAACAAGGACAACCAAGAGTCTCTGCTGATAGAGAGCAGACTAACTCCATCACGACGGGATCACACGTGAACTGCAGCATGCAGACGCCATCTGTGAGCGTCATCCTCCGAACAGTACCGGTACGCCTGAAAAATGGCGACAACGAAGTGATAACGTATGCACTGTTTGATGAGGGATCTACAGTGACACTAGTAGACACCCAATTAGCCAAGATCCTGCAAGCGTCTGGCCCAGTGAAGCCGCTGTCTCTCACATGGACAGATAAGCAGCATCAGCACCATCCTCAGTCCATGACCTTGAACCTGCATATCGCTGGATTGCGGGGAGATGAGGCCTTTCAGCTGAGGAATGCCAGGACAGTGAACAACCTCGATTTGTCGTGTCTGCCGGTGACGTCTGCAAATGCGCTGAAAGACGTGACGGTCCACACACTCGATAACAAGAAGCCCCAGCTCCTGATCGGCCAGGACAATGTCAGCCTGACGGTCGGGCGAGAGGTCATTGAAGGCGCGCCCAACGCGCCGATCGCCTCGCAAACCAAGCTTGGGTGGGTCGTGCACGTTCGGTCATCTCATCGTCAGGGCAGAGTGGATGACGTCGTTCTGCAAACCATCTCTACCAAGGATGAAGAACTTCACCAGCTCGTCAAATCGTCGTTTAAAACTGACGATTTCGGAGTCAAGGTGCCGCACGCTACAGCCCACAACCGTGAGGAGCTGCAGGCATTTGAGCTGCTGCAGGCGGCAACACAGAGGTTTGACGAGACTAGGTGGGAGACGGGGCTCCTGTGGCGCAAAGACGACCCAGTGCTGCCACGTAGTTACGGCAACGCGTTTAATCGACTCCGCAGCCTCGAGCGCAAGCTTGACCGCAACCCATCGCTGCTAGCGAAGTACGACGAGAAGATTGCTGAGTATGTCGACAAGCGCTACGCGGAGATTCTATCTCCCCATCAGGCAGCGGTGGACTCCAACACCACCTGGTATCTCCCGCACTTTGGGGTCACCAACCCCAACAAGCCGGACAAGCTACGGTTGGTTTTCGATGCTGCATCGAAAACCGGGGGAAGTAGCCTGAATGACGCCCTGCTCTCTGGCCCTGACCTGTTGCGACCGCTGCCAGCCGCACTGTTTGGTTTCCACGAGGAGGCCATCGCATTTGGTGGTGACATACAAGAGATGTTCCACCAAGTGGTCATTAGGCCACAAGATCGCTGCGCTCAACGATTCTTCTGGTGTGGGCAGGACCGCAACAGCAAACCGACTGTCTACCAGATGAGGGTGATGACTTTCGGGTCAACCTCTTCACCGACGTCGGAGCAGTTCGTGAAGACCATCAATGCTGCCGAGCATCGTGACAAGCTCCGTGCAGTACAGGGTATGGTCGAGCATCACTATGTCGATGACTACTTTGACAGCTGTGCCGAGACCAAAGAAGCAGTCAAGATCGTGACAGCTGTGATTGACATCCACAGACAATGTGGCTTCCACATCAGGAACTAGGTTAGCAACTCACCGACTGTGCTTGAAGCAGTGCCGATTGAGATGCGCGCACCATCAAGCATCGTAAGTCTGGACGTCGATCCTGCAAAGACAGTCGATGATCTGGGACCCCAGTGCCGACACGCTTGGTTTCCATGTCAGTAAGCTCCGTCTAGAACAGATGCTGACATCCAAAAGCACGACGAAGCGTCAGGCACTCAGCACTGTGATATCAGTGTTTGACCCACTCGGCCTCGTTGCCTGTTACTCCATCAGAGCTCGAGTCCTGATTCAAAGCATCTGGCGAGCGTCCATTGGCTGGGATGATGAGCTGCCGAGGTCGCTGCAAGGCGAATGGACGAGCTGGTGCGAGGAGCTGACGGAGCTCGGCAAGCTGGCAATACCAAGATGCTACAGTTTGAAGCCCGGAGGAGTCGCTAACGTCCAGCTTCACGGCTTCTGCGATGCCAGTGAACTTGCATTCGCCGCCGTCGGCTACTTTCGCTTTCAGCTGAACGACGGAACAGTCGACACGGCGCTCGTTACGGCAAAGTCCCGGGTCGCACCGCTGAAGCCGCTGTCAATACCGCGTCTTGAGCTGCAAGCCGCGCTGCTCGGAGCTCTGATTGCAAGCGCAATCTGGAGTGTTCTGGAGCGACTCGCGGACCGGACTCTGCTGGATCAAGTCAGACGGTCGCCGCTACAAGCCATTCGTCGCACATCGTGTTGGCGAGCTGTCTGAGCTGTCGAACCTAGATGATTGGCACTGGGTGTCGACGATCGACAATGTTGCAGATCTAGCCAGCAGAGGCGTCGCGGTGAATGAGATCCCGCCAACAAGCCGCTGGTTCACAGGTCCAGCGTTTCTGAAGGAGCCGACATCACAGTGGCCAACGGTACCATCCACCAGTGAGCCTGTTGAGAACGACGCCGATGATGCTGAACTGAAGAAGGAGTTCGTCGGACATGCTGCTCAACGTACAAATCGCCTCTGTCTGCCAGACCCTGAACGGTTTTCGTCATGGCACAAGCTTGTACGCACCACGCCATGGGTAGTCCGCTATGTCCCTAAGCTGAAGGCTAGTGTTGCAAGGAAGTCGACCAAGCTACCAGCTGAGTTGCTGCCGTCCGAAGTTCAGCACGCACAGACGCTGGGGTGCAAGACCGTCCAGCACGACTGCTTTCCTGATGAGCTAGCATCACTGCACAAGGGAGAGTCAGTCAGCAGTAGTAGCCGCCTCTACAAGCTGTCAGCTGGTCTGGATGATGATGTCATCAGGGTGTTTGGTCGAACCGATAGTGACGCCGAACTCCGTCCATCAGCAAAGCGACCAGTGATATTGGACCCAGACCATCGGTACACGCATCTGCTACTGCAGCAGCACCATGTGTGGAATGGCCACCATGGACAGGAACGCGTGGCGAACGACCTGCTCCAGTGCTACTGGATTCTTAAGCTACTCGTCGCTGTGAGAAGAACATGGACCGAATGTCAGCGGTGCAAGAACGAGCGTGTCGTTCCACTGCAGCCTGAGATAGGCCAGCTACCAGAGTGCCGTATCACAGCCAATGTCAGACCATTTACGAACACAGGAATGGACTACTTTGGCCTGATGGAGGTCACAGTTGGTCGTCGCCGCGAGAAGCGGTACGGTGTGTTATTTACGTGTATGAGCACAGGAGCAGTGCACTTGGAAGTTGCACACGGCCTCACTACCGACGCCTGTATCCAGAGCATCAGACATATGAGTGCCAGACGAGGGCAGCCAACCGCCATCTACTCAGATAACGGCACCAATCTGCGAGGAGCAGACGGAGAGCTGCGGGAGAGTATTGGTGAGCTCGATCAGGATCGTCTGGCTGCCGAATTGACGGCTCAAAGTATTGAGTGGCACTTCATCCCTCCAGCAGCTCCCCACATGGGTGGGGCTTGGGAGCGACTCGTGCGATCAGTGAAAGTGGCTTTGCGAGCGTCACTGACGGAACTGCATCCGCGTGATGAAGCGTTGCTAACTGTGTTTGCTGAAGCCGAGAGCCTGGTCAATGGTCGCCTGCTAACGCATGTACCTCTGGACGCCGAAGACGACGAATGTCTGACACCCAACCATTTCCTGATTGGTACATCCAGTGCAGCGCTATGTCCTGGAGTCTTCAACAACGCCGACCTGTGTTTGCGCAAGCAGTGGCGTGTCGCCCAAGCGCTCAAAGAGATGTTCCTGGCGTCGATGGGTCAAGGAATACCTACCTACGCTAACACGTCGCACCAAGTGGCACCAGCCATGCCGTCAACTGTCACCCGGTGATGTAGTTGTTATAGCTGACGACAAGGCCACACGTGGAGTTTGGCCGCGTGGCATCGTGATCGCAGTTCACCCTGGCCGAGATGGCACCGTTCGAGTCGCTGATGTCAAGAAAACCACCGGAGTGTACCGCCGGCCAGTAGCCCGTTTGTGTTACTTGGATGTACGTAAGTAACTGCAGCCAGTTACTAGGTGGGAGAATGTACGCGCTGCGTGCTCAGACAGACTTACTGAATTTGCCGTTTGATCGTCGTTCTGCAGCGCTGTAGTATTTCTCTTCCTCTGTTAGTTCTTTCTCTTCTTTCTGTCAGCGCTTACTGTCACCCAGCGCTAGGTGCAAGCACCCCCTGGCAGATTCATACTACATTGTTCTACTTGATAAATTTATTGTTCTCTCAAACTTATTCCTTCGTTGTGTTCGAACTGTTTTTGAATTATTTTCGTTTCTTTCTTGTCATGTGCCAGCTGCCGAAGTGTGCAGTCGCAGCAGCGCCATTTTTGAATCATTCTTATGTCATTGATCCTGTGATCACGAGCGATTGTTGCTAGCCCTAGATCCGCGGATCTGGTAGTGGTGCGCATGCATACGTGTAGTTTGACTTGCCTGCGATAGTTTTCTGTGATCTGCTGTTTTGCACTGGAATCGCACATGTACTTTTGACCTCTTCACACTTCTCCTTTTGGCAATGCGTTTCCTAAATCTCTCCGCGAAGTTTCCGCTGATCCCGCGCGTGGTTCTCACGCACCGTGCGGCGCAGTACGGAATTTTGCACTTGTTTCTTTTCCTGTATCCTTTTCTGGTTTCCTAGCACCTTTCCGGGACTGTTCCTCTGGGCAAGAAGTAGCCTTGTCTTGGTGGCTTTCTTGTTCATGGTAGAGTTTTTCTTCGGTGCTCATAGAGTTTGCTTCGTCTTTCTTGTATCATTATCAAATTTACACTATCGTCATATACTAAGCACAGCTTTGGAGTGTTTTGGACTGTGGGCGAAATTACAAAACCTTTTTGAATCTTTCCACTCGACCATGCTGAAATACGGCCAAAGTCATACCTGCGCAGGAAAGCTCGCCCCTCCGCGACGTCTCCTCAACAATTTCTGCTTCAACACTACTCCTAAGGCCGCAGAACAAAGTGTATTGTTGGCTATGACAAGGAAAAGCAGCGGTGATCACTTGTCACTCCAAACGACAAGCTTCTCCTTGCGCCACCAACAATTTTTTTGTGCGACTGTTGATGCAAAAGTGACTGAAGTCCTGAGCGCTGTTTTTGAATTTTATTGCAAGATGCACGATGAGATCGCGTGCTCGGTGACGTAGGATGACGCTTCCTGGATCACGACACGCGGCCATCGATCGCGAACGTGACTGGAACGCTACTCGGAACAGACCATGATGGCAGAGGTAAGATAAGCTGTATTTCCTGCTTGATCTACCATGATCTACTGAGAACCCTCACAAACTATCATAGGAGTGTTGCAATGGCAGCAAGCCGTTGAATTATGCTCCCCGTACAGCATGGAGAGTTATTCATCTTTCACACTTACCTCCTGCAATCCGAACATAGTCCAACGGTAAAAGTCCATTGTTTTCATGTCGATGCTCGACAAAAGCTGCTAGCTCGGTCGCTTTGTGTTGACTGGCATGGCACGCAAGCAGCACTGGCTGCACGAACCTGTCGCGTGAACTGCATGAGAGATTTCTTACGTCATAAAGAATGTGATTTCATCATCATTTCACTGGTCTTCGCCCTACATGGTCAGGGAAAGTCCCGGTTCGTAGGCCTACAACACGGTCAGCGTGTTCTCGAGCGCAGTAACAACACAAGTGTGATCACTTCCAGACCAACGGGCGTTCCAGGCGAGTAACAAGCGAACTTGACGAAGGTGACTCTGAAATATCGTGAGCCATGATCCACGTGACTTGGCATTCTTGCGTCACAAGGCACGTGATTTCACCGTGCCTGTTGTAGTAAAATTCAAGAATTACGCTCATGCCTACAGTCACTTTTGCATCAACAGTCGCAAAAAAAATTGTTGGTGGCGCAAGGAGAAGCTTGTCGTTTGGAGTGACAATTGATCACCGCTGCTTTTCCTTGTCAGAGCCAACAATACACTTTGTTCTGCGGCCTTGGGAGTAGTGTTGGAGTAGAAATTGCTGAGGAGACGTCGCGGAGGGGCGAGCTTTCCTGCGCAGGTATGACTTTGGCGGTATTTCAGCATGGTCGAGTGGAAAAATTCAAAAAAGTTAATTTCAAGAAAACCCCAAAAGGAACATGGGGGACATGTCCTCAGCGCTAGAAGAGGTGTTCTACTATCTGCCGGTGTCTATTTCTGGCCAATTGAGGACGTAGCTGGCTTTTTTGCCAGCGCTTGTAAATTGGCTATTTTCAAGACGATCATTTGTGGCGTCAGGGGGTGATGGACCTCGTCTTCTGGGATCCTGGCGTGGCTAAGCGGAACCGCTCAAGGAACTCTTCTAAGGTGAGGCAATGTTGGCTTGATGGAGTTTTGTTCATAGCTTGTTCGTATACGCTGTGGCGTTACTCGTTTCTAGACCCATAAATAATGTGATATGAGCCGTCAGATGCGAAAAGGGTGCTTATGGCATATTTTGGTCAAATTGAGATAAGGACTCAAGGAAAATCTATAGGCTTTTATGCTTCACCTAAAAAAAAACGGACTCAAAAATCCAAACCCATCATGAAGATATCGTCAATTTAGATCAGGAGACAAAAGAATTTCGTTCAGAATCAGAACGGAGCTCGTGCGCCACAAAAAAGGCAGTTTCTTTTGTATGTAAATCCGCCGTGCTTTGGAGTTTCGGCCATTTCTGAGGGGTATCCAAATTTCAAGGTTCCCTTCAGAAACCTTTTCAAGGGCTTTGCACAATCGATCCACACCCCAAAGGGAACCTACCTGCAAATTTTGAGCGAATTCGGAGAGATCCATTTGCACACATACTTTAGTATTCTCAGACATGCTCTCTTAAATTGTAAACTCAAGCGTCGGCCTGACTGGACGACTTCCAAAGAAGACCTCAATGTTCTGTCCTCTTGGGAATCTTTAGCATGGCGACGGCAAATTCTTGGCCTTGTCTATTTCCACCGTGTCTTCTCCCAATATCCCTCCTTGTTGTCTGACTTCCAGCTTCCCTCTTCCCAAAGCAGTCGTCACCCTTCATCCATAATTCTTCCTGAAGCTGGCACCTACTTTCGTAAATCAACCCTTTTTTCTTTGAGTGTTGCATGGAATAAACTTCCTGAAGATATTCGTTCACTCTCTACAACAGTGAAATTTTGTATTGCTGTTCGTCGGTATCATTCGCAATCTATGTTTTCTTTGAAAGGTATTCCTGACTTTTGTGTCTAGGCTAACCACAACTATGATAGTTTTAATAGTTTGTGTATATGTCAGTTATAGTAGTCCGCAATGCTGCTTTTCTAATTCTCACTATGATTAGCATGCAATGTACTACCCGAAGTACTGAATTTACTTCTTTTGTACTAATGTATCTTCTACCTCTTCTCCCTTACGAACATACATTCTCATTTTCCATACTTACTTAGGGGACTCCCTTCGATAGGCATCTATTTGCCTCTGGAGGATCCGTGAAATAAAAATCAATCAATCAATTGACCGTAACTTTGGTGTTTTTCAATAGATTTGAGTGAAATTTTGACCACACACTCCTGCCACTATGCTGGCCCTCAGGACATCATTTACAAGTTCTTGCGCCTCACTGACAGGCTTTCCAGGCCGGAAAGGCTCAAATTTGCGGCATAGTGCCACGGTGTGCGAGCCACCCAGGAGCCAAACAAATGCATTTAAATTTTTTCACATTTTCGTGCCCAATCTGTCCGTGCGCGGGACCCAAACCTAAAACAAGTCCAGAAGCAGCCATGGGTGATGGGGTAGGGCCCCTCAACGAGGCCCTGGAATCTGTCGCAACGGAACGAGTAGGCGGTCTCTCTCAGACTCTCACAGACCCAAGTCAATTTTAGAATTTTTTTTACGTTTAGCACGTGCTACGAGGTCGTACCTTTGATACAACATCCAGTGCTAGGACCTCCACAGCAAGCCATTTCCACAACGCTGCAAAACAAATCCAAGATACCCTCAGAAACCGGCAAAGACTACCACTCACGTTTCACTACTGCCTAGTTCTAAATCCTACCTGACTTTTTGACACGACTCAAACTTGCCAAAGTCCCTAAATCAACGTCAACTACAATAATCAAGCCACATATCTGCACCGTCACGAGGGTGCGGGCAAAAATCCCCCCGACGTGCAGCCCAAAATGTGGTTTTTTATCGTGATATTTTGGACTTTTTTGGACTTGGAGCAAAATTCTGCACACTTTCCCGTGTTTCACAATCAAATACAGTGCTGCCAACAAATGACAGCTTGCAACAAAAAAATCTTCCCTTGCAAGGGCACATTTTCGGCCATAACTTTTGAAGGGCTGGTCAGATCAGGACACAATTTTCAGAGAATTTGCATCTATTCATGCTCTTTCAACTGACATAGCACTCAATATGAATTTACAAATTCGATTTTTCAGCGAATTTTTGGGTAGTCTGCCACCTTAACAGAGCCCTGTCTACGTACTCTTCGTAGACAACTTTCCGTAAGTGGAGTGCAAACTCGCGAATTCACGGGGTTTTCCCGCCCACTAACGTAAAGTGTCTCAACTTTACGTAGTGCGGAACCTGTCATAATACTGGTTGTTACGGAGGTAGCCTAAATTGATGTATTATTCGTTTGCGTTCTGCTTCTTTGAATGTTACTGAATAGTTTTCCTCTCCCCGCTCTGCTACATCATTACCTGTACGCGCCACGTCTAGCGCCTTGTTTCTACGCAAACACTTAGCACCTTATTCGTCGGCACGCGCTCATCTTATCCACATGTATGTGCTAAGTGTTGGTGTAGAGGCAAGGTGTTAGATGGGGCCGCCGCACTTGCTATGATTATAGTTCATTGGAGCGAAGGCGTAGGTGTGTTTTTCCAGAGTTCTGCTTGTGATGGTATTCTTCTGAATGGTCATCGAAGTAAATCTGAGTATGGTTCAAGAAAGTTATTTATCTTCCGAGAGTATCCCTGTGTTTATGAGCCACACAGGTTCAAAAAGTCTTAACTTTGCTGTTCTACATAATGTTATATTCACCAACCTCGTACCCAGAATCTCGTTGGAACTTCCTGTAGTGAAATAATAGATTTTTGGAGTGTTGTGGTTGTGTTTCAGCTACAACTTTAGCTGATCTTCTCTAAATCGAAAAAAAATTCCAGTTCAATAATAATAATATGTGCAGTGTCGAACATTCCCTTTTCCTTACCTCTCTATGTCAGCAAATTGTAGCTCAGATATGCACGACATATTTTCGATCAGGTGGACTGGCCACGGGACGTTCACAGGGTTGGTCTGATTAATGTGCTCTTCGAGTGCTATGAACCAAGCACGTTCACGGAAGGTGATCGCAGCCCAACAGCAGGCATTTGGGATAATGCTCCCCTGACGTGTGTGCCCTCAAACTAAACTATTACAATTAAACACAGGGAACTGGCGATATTGTCAAAGCCAATAAAAATATGACATAGCTCCCATGCTGACCAATTACTAGTACGCCGTTACTGGTGTGATGTCAAAAGCATTAACTTTATCTCCTTCTTATACTTAAAGAAATCAGGCTTAAATTTTGGAATACATACTGTAATCGCGACTGATATTTCAGTGATGAGCATGAAGAATGAACAAACCTAATCAATGGAGGGAAGAAGCACTGTGGCATGATTCAAACTACATTTCGGTACATTATCTTGCGGGCAGCATGCAGTACGGTTTAGCAGCATCTTGGTGGGCGTTTGAGATCCTAAAAAGAACAAAGTGGATAATTCGCGTGTCCTGTATCATACCATAATAAATCTGTGCAGGATGCTATGATTTAGCCCATGCCCAAAACAGACCTAAAATGGAGATAATTAAGCAGACACTTGGGGGTCAGGATCCTAGTGGTTGCCCCATACTGGAAAGTACTTCAAATTCAAACATGCAGTCCGTGCTGTCGTACTTGCGACACTTCCGAAGGGGTTTCACCGCATATTGAACCATACAAGGGAGTGCTTCACCCTGGGTAGGCCGATGCCTATCTATTCCGTTGAGAATAATTACACTTCACTCTGGCATCGAAAATTTAACATATTTTCAGACGTTTTCAACTCCCTGAAACTTATTTAAAATATTTCTTTGTAATGGGGCTCGCGTGTACTATTTATAGGTGAGGTTTCACTGCTTGTGGGACTCAGAGAGGGGTTTAGTCCCACTTCCCTGTGTGAATCGTGATAATGCGTTAAGTGCAAAATGTGAGGAAAATGTTTAAAAATCATTGCTGAGATGACATTTACAGCATAGTCCAGCAGCAGAGAATCAGTCTCCTGCCATAATGTCACAGTCCCTTGTTCCCCGCACTTCTGAATATCTGAAGTATAGGATTTGCTTTTCCGGGTGCTTCACTGGGCATAATGTGTCGCACTCCACAGCATGCACCAAGCTGGACACTGACCTGGATTGTCTTTCAAATACAAGCTGGTTGCAGCTAAAATAACCGTGCATTGTTGGCGAGTAATTTATGAACCTTCCGAAAATGTGACCACAGTCTCTTATAAAGCTATGCCCCTTGTTGCCATATTAAAACTGATGTCTCCAAAACGCTCGTTTACAGTCTGCTATCGCTATTAAAAAAAATGAAAATGCGTTAATGAATTGACTGCTTGTCATACATGTGTAAATTTTGGCGTTAAACTATCAGTGCCAGAGCATTCACTACACGGTTGGCCGGCACGCATGCTGGCGCTACACGCAATTTGCACACATTGGGGGCCTTTTGGGGCCAAAAGATAACGCCAGTTAACTCGTATGTAACGGATCTTCATCATCTCATCTGTTCAGCAATTGTGTTTATCGGCATGAACAACTTTTTTTGACAGTATGGTTTGTATATCTAAGCCTTCAGTCGATGCAAAAACAAAGGCAGAATCTAAATAAGGTTCTAACAACCTACTATAAATCCATGTATAAACGTGAACGTTTCCTACTGCATGGTGACATGTTGAAATCGGTCTAATTAGGCTCCACACGAGCCGCTGTTCGTATTAGATATGAATAATATATTGATAACTAAGGAAAGATAATCTGAAATGGTTAGAAATGGTGTGCCTAAGCAAGTGTGACAAACGTTCTCCCTATCCTCGCGAAATGCATTGGACTGTGTTTCAGAGAGCACAGAAGAACACATTCGCATGGGTATGCTAGTTAAGCCAGGTTAACATTGAACACAAAAGTGCAAAACTCTTACATACTGTAAACTATCACTTGCTGCAACTGACGATGTAAAAGTGAGAGAAACTGTGGGTGAGACAATGAGCCGCACACATTCATTTTGTTCCAGACGTACGGTGCATCACTTGTAACTTTGGTAATTGGTATGGATATCCAGCGTAATCTCTTCCTCATTCGATGTGCGTATGATCTTCAAATTTAGATAATTTATCTTGAAAAAGAATGCTAGAGTAGACTAGACTAGTAAGCGATGTCATTGCTGCACGCTTGCCAGGAACGTTGGCTTCCTCATCGCAGTGTAGTGTGGTTCGCATTGCAGTTCATCAAAGCAGCAGTGGGGGTCCGTCTGTCGAACAGATGATGTCACATTGACGTAGCGATCAGACTCGTTCCGGGCAGATGGCTTTCCGACTTCACGCACGGTTTGTCGCTTACCCAGCTTATAGGCAACATCCATTAAGGACTCAGCCACAGCGCTGTTCCTGCCATGGAATTCGCCCACACTCGAGTTCTCTCCGACCCTGTGTACAGTGCCAGGGGCCGCATGGGATGTGTGAGTGTGCAGCGAGATCAGAGAGCTGCTGTGGTAGTCCATGCTGGTGCTCGGAAGCTCACCTGGAGGCCATTCTGCTTGCGTCTGTTGACTTTGCGCTTGAGTGGGCTCAGTTTCAGTTGCTTTCACGTGCTTGGCTATGAACACGACTGATAAAGAAATGATCATGAGCCCTAGTATTGCGCTACCACAATAAATTACCGTGAGATAAAGCTTGGAGTTCGTTTCTCCACTCACTGCACTCGCACGTGTACTGCTTGTGTCCCGATCGGGCTTGGAAGTAAATGTGTCCGGGGCATGGATTGAGGGCTGGCAGGAACAATGTACGGGATGAGCAGTTTGGCATGGTATGCATGCACCAGCAGCAGCTGTTGCGCTTGGGCACATTCGCTTGCATTCGTCCCAACAGTGCTGTGGCGAGGCGTCTATGAGACAATATTAGTCAAGCATCCAGACACAGAATACAACCCGATATGGGATGAATAAGAAGACAGTTCTGGCAGATCCATTAAATGATCAACATCACCTCACAAGCAATAAGAACATTAATCCAAATTATGCTTGCGGCCTTGTCGAGGCTTGGACTGTGGTTGTGGTGGTGATAGTAACGGTATCAGTATCGGTAGTGGGTATACACTGAAGAAGTGCCAAACTACAGGCTCTTGTAAAGTGGCAGGGGCACCCAAAAAGGAGTCGACGACTACAGATTACATGCATCCTTATGACAAGCTAATGCAATGCTAAATGTATTTCAACATATATGTATCACAGAAATATATATAAATCCTAGCAAAAATGAGAATATCGAGAACAAGCGCGCAAACTGGCATAGTGAGTTTTTCTGTAATGCGTCCGGATTCATACAATAGTCCACTGCTATTACCCCGTGGTAATGAGTTCTTTATTCCAGGTATCTTAAATTCAAGTTTGCCACCTGACAAAAACGATTTCCTCTTTTCCTACCGTAAACCCAACAGATGGAACAAGTAGGTGTGTACGTACCTTCAGCCAATATACGTATGCTTTTGTCAAGATCAACAATGCAAGTATTGCAGCGGTGTTTCGTGAACAGCGTCACCTTCACTTCAACCCTATAATGTCCTTCAGCTAGCCTGAGATTATCCGTCACAGGCACCGTGAGGAGAAGGTTAGCGCGTCTTCCACACTTTCTTACACTAGAACTTGCACGAACAGTGGTTTGGTATCTGCAGCAATTCCCGTAGTTGACAGTGCGTTCGATCATGGCGTTACAGGCGCCCGACCCATGAAACGTAATTTCAGTGATTCTGCCTCCGCAGCCTGGTTCAAGGTTCAGCGAAACGCTAGTGGTGTTATGCGTTCTGTTGCTGCTGGAAAGGAAGGTTGTCCCAGCGGATGTAAGGAACTGCTTCTGAGGTTGGTCACTGCCGTGACTTGTCCTATTGACAGACCATCCTGGTGAATGGCATGACCATGGGATTGCAGACTCCGCCAGAAGTGTCCTGGTGACCGAAACAAGCAGGAGTACAGCTGGAAAGAAGAAAAAACGCCCACAAGAGTTGGCATTAATTGACTTGACCGTTACCAAATACACTGTAGGACATCTGCATGTACTTAATAATTAGTGCTCCAATGCCGAGTGCAAAATATTCAATAACTTCACCATCAGGTATTGTGGCCAAAATACATACTAATTTTACCCAAGAGAGAGACTGGAAGCTTTGTTACAACTCTGAGTTTCACGTATTACTACGATCATCAGGCAACTTACTAATTTTATGAATTTCTCCCAATGTGAACTCACTAAACGTCTTAGTGGTCTTGACGAGCCCGAAACTAGTTGGCGCTCTTTTCTTGAGTTTATTGATTTTTGTATCTCAATGGAAACTGACATCTAAAGGCAGCATTATGATATTGACATACTGTGTTCAGTTCGGCTCCGAGGACCGAAGACCCTGTTCTACCACGATCTGCATCTACATGCGACAAAGCATTTTATCAAGGGCGGTTATCCAAACTTGTCCAACTGACTCTCTATCATTGAATCCATCCTTATGTGGCAACCTCTAAAGGCCCACACCTACGTTACTAGCATTGGCGGATATCCAAAACCAAATGCGACTACATACAATACTCTACCATTGAAACTTGCAATGCATTCTTACCTTGTAGAGTTTCAGATGACGATACCATGTTCACAGCTTCCATTAACAAAGCATAACATGTACGAATTGTTCAAACGTACTAGAAAGAGGTAATATCGAATGCCTTTCGACTCTAATCACGCAGACCTCTGGGATGGAGCACCCAAAGATAAATGCCACCGCGATAATGTATTTAAATGAGTTCTTAGCTTGTCATGGGAACTGTACTCTTTTCTCATGGTACATAAATCTGTCACGAGCAAGCTTCCTTGTGCAATATTGCCTCCCAGCAGATGGTAAGGAATGTTAATGCCAAAAGCAGTTTGCTAACATCTGTCCAATCGCCTGGGGACCTGTAGCGTCTATCCCCCGAAACCAACACTTGTACCCGACTTCAGACCAGATGTTGAATACTTTATTGATTATGGGAATCAATACAGGCCATGAAGCGAGGGACGTCAATACCCGAGGTTGCTATTATCATGCAGTGCAGTGCAACGATGACCGGGCTGATACAATTGCCCAACGATTTCCTTCCATGGTTGCCTGCCTCCATGAATCTCTTCTCCAATTTCTGCACGAAATGTGCGGGAAGTTATAATATAAAGCCATAGACACAGACATCTGGCAGTCCAAGATAGCAAGGAATAGCACTTTTATCAAAGGACATTCTATCCCAGAATTTCCGTTATTTTCAAACCAGTGCACCAGCGGTTGGAACTCTCTCCCTGTCGCTCTCCTGTCCCAGCCTCCCCAAAGCAAGAGAATACAATCATTCAAAACGCTCTGGGCAGTCGATTCGCTATGAATAATGTGATACTATGATAGTTTCTGACCCACACTCGCTGGTTTTAGGCCTTGGGGTTTTGCATCTTTTTGACCTGTACAGCTCTATCTTCTCCTTTTCACATTTTTTGGCCTGTGTTTTTGGCCTTGACGCGTAGACCTTAGGTCGGCAAGGTCATCAATGCCCCACCATCCCTGGTGCGTGTCGGTGCAGCGCCTGCTAAATAGTTTTCACGTTTCTCTTTCGAGCTGGTTATGTGAACATAGTAAAAAAATATAATAAACCACGCTCATCAGGTGTTCAGGAATGGATTCGGATGGAGAGTCAGTGTCGTGCAATGCTATCGCATGAGCTGATTGTTTAGTAACTGGTGGTTTTAGTGGACAGTATAGCGTAACTTGTAGTTTCTGGGTACTTTCGCATTCATCTAAAAAAACGCTCAAAACATTTTCCTAGTCATTTTTTCCTGCGAGTTGTTAAATTCTGTAAGAGCAGCGTTTAGCGAAAATACACTCGTGCATTGGAAGCATCCGTTTGGATTCAACCATGCCATTAGGAAGTGAATATTCAATAGATTTTTGGTTGGAGGAAAGCAAATCAGCACACGAAGCACAGAAGCCATATAATTTTTTCGACTACGCCTTTTATTCCATTACTCTTCTGCCTAAGTGCAGTCTGCAAACATGGCACCCACTCTCACTTCACCATTCAAGCGCGTGCGCGCAACAAGTCTCACCTTGCTGTGCTGGAGGCAGTGTACATTGGCAAGCTGAAGCCTGAACAGTGCGTGCAAAAGAAGTATGTTGCGAAAGTTGTCACTGTTTTGACAGTGCAGTACATGTACCATGGTCCCCACTGTTTTCTGATACTGGTAATATTCATTGTCTGATACTGGTAATACTCATTGGCTCACTGTGAAGTTGGCGGCACTAGCGCTGTCTTTTAAAGTGCTATTTTGTCTATCGTCGGTCGAGGAAAACACGGATGCAGTGAATGGGATTTTCGGTCATTGACCACATGCTGGTGAGCTGATCTACTCACCTCCCACCGCTTTAGGAGCTGCATCTGCGCCTTGATCCCTGAAGGGTGGTGGCGTTCCTACGGATGCGGAAAACTCGGCCTCTATATAGAGAAACCGAGTCTGACGCGAACCGTGAATTTGTTTTGGTCTATGCTCTGACCGCCAAATATGCTGTTGGCGCCACTAGCGCTATTTTTCAAGTGCCATTTTTGTCAATGCTCTGCCCGCTAAAAGTGCCGGTTATAAGGACTCGCTTACTACCTTGTTAATCACCATTGTATTCGACCTGAAAAGTTATGGATGGCAAAGGCCTAGTCGAAAACATTATATGACTTCTGTGCTTCGTGTGCTGAAGTGAATATTCACAAGAGATGATCACTCACATTGGACGGAATGAAATGGAACACATTTCCAGTCTTTTGAATTGGCACGATAGTGCCTAAATGCGTGTACTATGTACATAGGTTCAGTGTAATATGACGTTTAGCCTACTGGTGTTACAAGACTTTGTTATTTGGATACTAAACCTGTGTGATGACTGAATGCTGTAGGCACACAGGTACATATAGATACACGTATGTGAAAATTGGAAAGATGTTAACGACCTGCTGCGCTAGGAATACTTCTGGTTTGTGCTAACAAGCGTCTAGCCTAGGACTGCTGGCTTTATAAATGCCCGCGGACGATAAGGATATAACAAGTTAAATTACTACCTCGGTCAACTCAATCTACAATTTAAAGTTTTCAAATGGATGAAACAATGATATTGCGAAGCAATAACCTGCAAACATTGGTAAATACAAGCTCAAAGGCAATTCAAAATCCTTCAGAGATTTATTATAAAAAAGGAGAAGGACAAAAATGTTACGAGTTAGGACAAATCCGAGGTTAGATATATTGTCATTCAACTTTTCTTCAATTCGACCATCAGATAGGGCTGAACAGAAACAGGACGGTCCACAGAAGTAGTCTTGCAGAGTTGACGTGGTGAGGCAGCAGTAGCTTTCCCCAACTCCGCACTGTTGGATGCACGACTTTCCAACGTGTTCCTAGGCTTGAGGTTCATCGGTTTCGGAGTCTGGAACTGTCCAACAGGTCGTGTAGGAGTACGCCGTGAAAGAACACTACGATTTGGCGATGGAGTCGATCCTCCTGGGATGTCGGGTTTAATCACCAAGGCTGGTTGATCTTTCCAGCAGTCAGCGGAGTGGCAAGGATTGCCGGTTCTTGGGAGCTCGACTCGATTTTGCTGGGGTATGTCAGGTCGCGAGGATTCAGTGGCGTTGACTGGGTTGCCAATACATATATTTGTCTGGACTGATTCTGCCTGCGGACAAATGCCTTTGGACATGTGCTCTTGGGGATAGCCAGCCACATCTGACGGCAATAGGTAATCAGAGGGTATGAAGGTGCTTAGGCGTGACACAGTGCAGGGTGGCTTTGATCCATTTCCATCATCAGAAGGCAGTTCAGAGGCGGACAACTTTTCAAAGCCTAATCCAGGCACATCCTCGTCAACTGGTGCGATCTTGGCGATACTCCTTTTACTAGCGTTTCCCAGGCCTTTGGAAATCCGTGAAGGCTTTCGAAGAGCAGCCGACATTTGTTTAGTACCTCCAGAAAGAGTCCTTCTATCCGCCATTTCTCCATCGCGATTGCCTTTCTGGCTGGGGAATCGAGCCCATTTGTAGTTGGCAGCAACGTTGGGTTCAATTGCCGATATCGTTTCGCATGAGTGCACGTGATTGGTTCCTCCATCTGATTCAATTGGCTGAGCTGTGGGCTCTTTGCATGACGTGGAGTACTTTGATGCGCATTTAGTGAATTCTGGCAAGCGTTGACTGGCATTGTGCTGCGCCGAAAATGATGACCCAACATTGTTTATAGAGATTTCTTCGTATGGTTTTACCATGGAATGCCGCCGAGTACAGTCCAACGCAGATGGTCGTGAAGCGACTTCGGAGCTAGGTAGCGAGGTAACGTCTTGCTCAAAGCAAGTTTGGGAGTAGTCTTCTGTTTGTTGCAGCTTTATGCCAGGACATAGTGACGAATTGCCGTCGGCTAAAGGAAGTTCACTGTACGGAGAAATACTACTGCGTCTATTACTCGCATTGGCAACGGCACCGTCTTCATCTGTCTCGGCTTTGGGATGCACTTTTGCGGATTGTGCCAGTGACGAGTCTGATGCATATGATGAGGTAGGATCGGTGACACTGTTTGGCTTAGATGATGCGCCAGGGGATAAAATACCTTCTTCCAATACTTGCTTCTCCGTGTGCTGCGTGACTGCAGTCCTCTCAGCCTCGTCTGGGAGTGTTTCATCTGCACAGGCGTTCTCAAACTCATTTCCAAGATCTTCAATGTCTTCCAACGGTTTCGTATTCACATCACTAGCTTCTTTTTCCAAAGTCGAATCGAGAACAATTCCATCGATGTGCGAATTGTGCTTCTCCACATGGGTGCACTCAGTCTTCGCGCTGGCATTCCGGCGACTTCTGTTAGTCTTGCGTCGCTCTGGCTCTGATCTGCTCAGGCGGAAACACCAATAGACGCAGCATAAGAGAACGACCAGCACTAGTACGGGTGAAAGCGATATCAATAGCACAGTCTGCGGTCCCATGTTGCTGGTCAACGTATTCAGCTTAGAATGGAGTTGAGACTGTGTCCACAGCTTCGGATCACACGTACTCGCTGTAGGTGTGCAGAAGGGAAAAGAAACACCTGGTCCACAAATCTACCGAACTGTTGCACCTTTTACAATGTTCCCTGTATCCCATGCTTAGAATTCGAAAAATCTGCGTTAGATCAAAGCTCAAACGCTATGTCGCGTTCCGTGATCAGAATCATGCTCTGAAAATAGCATACTTTTCCATTGCGTTTGATATCAACATTACAATTGCTTTAACTCCCTACAAATTTTAGATCCCCAAAGAGTGTCTTTGTTTGAAGTTTTCGAAGGCACCCCAACAGAGAATCCCTAAGCTGGGGAAACATGTTATTCGTTTGGACAGCGATTTATCAGTATTAAGGAAGGAAGGCCACTAAAATAATTATACTTACAATGATTGTAAGGAAGACCAGAATCGGCACGCCCTGACAATGTTCTGCAACAAATATCCGGTACCCGTTGGTAAACAAAAGAGGCAATTTTACCCCGGTGAAGACGAAGGAACTTACGCTGCTCTGAAAATAATCCGGCGAAGTCAGTGAACCTTTACTGAGCACTAGCTGGCTTTCCCTGGAACCTTGCCATCAATACAGGAGTACGCATGCAGTTAGTTTAGCTGCAGCTAGTTTGACCACTCAGCTACGTGCCGCTACAGGATACAACACAGATGTTTCCATGTGATTCTTGTATGTAACAGCTGTTGCCTGGTGGATTTCCTGTACGTTATGGGTACATATCCGCGACACGATTTCACGAAAACAGACATGAGGTGAAGAGGTCCCTTCGCGCGTCTGCGTGCATATGCAGGACATATACAACAGGCATTGTTCCCAGTTGAACCTGCTTTGTTCGTGATGCACACTGTATGTGGTCGGTGCCATCTCCTATGGGATCCGATTCCGCAATGAAGTTTCTATACAACTTTGGCATTTCGATGTACGTTTGAAGCCGTGCAATGCAGCTTGGCATATCGCTTTTGCCCTTTAAAGGCATCCTCCTACGTCCAAATCGGAAAAACACACATCATGTCCCCGTCAAGAGGCTTTGACACAAATACGGACGATAACCGGGCCAATTTAGAACCGAATTATTCTGACAGAGATATTATTGATATTTAGTTTAGGCTACATACTGATCTCTAGTGGGTGCAGATATCTATGGGGCTAAACTAGCATCAGCGTATGGCACGAATGTAGTACAACAAAAAAATAAATAAGTCAGATGACGAAATCACATTACAAAATAACGTTAAGGGAAATGAGCGTGCAAGCTGTTGCCATCTGCTTGGCTACAAAAATCGCACTCACTGAATACTCTTTTAAGTTGGAATCTGGAAACGTTGGGCAGATGTTGACCTCAACAAAGCCTCTGGGGAATAGTACTGATCTTGTGCTCCCTTTGAGTTAGCAGAAAGACGATTGATTGGTTTCACTTTTCCTGTAAGGAGAACAGTTGCACAACTGGAATGCCATGCTCTGTCGGAGCACCTTAGCCTACTTTCTCCAACGTCGTAGCCTGATCGAGAATGTGACTCGCAACGAACTGTTTTCACTTCTTAATTGGCCCCCGTCCTAGCTATACACTTGCCTACGCATGATTTCTATCACGAATCGTTATGTGATCATATCCATGTTAATGTCTAAATATGTGGTTGAATGTGAAGATATAGATATCCCTTGGAAAACAAAACTAAATTCAAGTGGCTGTTTTCCTACATGATTCACTACAGCCCATTTCTTTAGAACTTCTTTTTTTCTCTCTCAATAATAGGAATGGGATGCGACAGGCCTCGCAATAGCCAATTAAGTTAATATCACAGGGTGACCACAACCCGATTGTCACGTCACTAATGCCATCCTAGCGGCACGTAGCTGCTATTATGAAGATCTATCAATATGAACTCAGGGAGAGATGTGCCGAAACCAAGAAGATGCGATGGCTTTTGGTCCAAATCTGCCACACCATGTACTGGCATTGCAAGGTAAAGGTTTCCTCGCCTTCCGTTTGGATCTATCACGTTTTTAGTACTTCGAAGTAAGTTGAAGCCAAATCACAGGAGGCTCAACCTAAATTAGCCTAGCCCTATGTTGGTTTGTGAAGTGCGCTCTGCCTGAGCGGTTTTCGACACTCTCAGCATACTGGGCTGACGTGTTGAGTAGATTGATGCGTGACCGATTTCCTGCTTCACTTGGTTTTGGAATTTATTTTTTTACGAAAAAATACGAACGTGGAGAGCAGAAAACTGCAAGATAAAGTTGGCTGGAGACGCACCTGTGGTGGTGAAGTTAGGTCAAGCTTACACACCATTCTTTGTTTTGCAATTGCGTTTCCTAATTCACCTTCTTTTGCTTCCAGTTTGTTTGTGATTTCAAGAGTAGTTGGTTACTAGATCTGTACCTATTTCTGTAACCCCTCCTAAGAGCAAAAAACAGGCTACCACTGTCCATACCATCAGTGAAAATGAATCTAGGTAATTGATGTTGGATGTATATGATAAATTGCACTCCGGTATTAATAAAATGTTGTCAATGTATACTTTTCTACTGTTCAGCTATCCTCACTATTCTCATAGTGGTCACTGAAGGCAGGGCTACGGGTACAACTCCTTCAGTAGCGTCTCAGTGTTTTTCGCCTGGATATCCTGCACCCCAGGTGATCCGAGATGATAACAAGGGGCATCAACTGCGCTATTCTAGTGTTCCCAGATCGGCAGCGACCCAAGTCTTCCGCTTTGTATCACCAAGGAGCCTGAGCTACGTTTTTCACGTGCCGTATGGATGCTCACTGAAGCTAGAGAAACTGACTATGACCGTGTTCGGTTTGTGCTCTGTGAGTGTTATTCTTCGACCCAGTCAGCATTCTCCTGTAACTAAGGGCTTGTTTAACGCCCCACTTGCTCAATGTGACAACCCAGTACGTGGCTGCAGTGGAAGCATCGGCCTCTCCGAAGTTGGTTCTACCAATGTAAGGGGAAGACAGTTGGGTGATGTGGCGACATTAACGGTGCAGTTGCAAGCATCGGCCACATGCAGAGTTCGTTGCGCTGTGCAGAGTGAGGGTCAAATCACGCCTGTGATGTCAGTGGACTGGAAAGGTAAGGTAGTAAATCGCGACCTCTAAGGGCTGTAGATATTGATAAGCCCAAACAAAATGATTTCCAGGACTACAGAGGCCGGAACATTGTGAATATGTCAACGCGTTAGTGCGGTTTTGCATGTACAGCCAGGCTTCGCTTAACCGCACACAACCATTTTCCACAAAAATATCAGAATAAGCGAGCGAACCGGATAATCGGACACACATACTGCATGTCCGTGTACGCATTACATGTGCTGTAAATTGGTAACCACCGATTTTCTTCCGAATGGCGAGGATCCGAAAAAAGAGAGGACTGGATGAGCGAGGTCTGACTGTATACTACACTCTCGATTATACATGTGAATGGTTCTCTAATTCTTCATTACTGGGTAGTCGTCAGCAGTTACAGACTTTTCCTTGTGACTTTATGCATCTAGACCTGTCAGTGCCCGGTGCCAAGGGGAGTCTGAAGAGGAAATAAGTAATCAAACCGAAACTGGCACTAAAAAGAATAATATGTTCAAAATCAATCAACAATTAAAGACGCCTGACTATTATGTCGGTATTTCTTCTGTACTCCCAGATATCAACGAGTGCAGGACTCCCGGATTACTGGGACCACGCTGTACAGGGTCGGCTTGTGTCAATAACATGGGATCGTTTCAGTGCTTGGGGGAAGAAATAACCGTAATTCCTGCGACGTTACCCGAAGGCAAGTCTTTGTGTTTCTAAGAATTAAATCAGGATGAATGTTACAAAACACAGCGTAAATTTTTAGGTTGTTACCAAAATATAGCTATTTATAGGATGAAGGCCGCAGACATCACTCATCTACGTTACTAGTTCGAAATGCACGTGTATTTTTCTCGTTCCTATCATCAGGGGCGAACAAATACGGAACTAAATAATCGATTTTGGGTTTCCATAATTTTATTTATTGTTATAAAATTCACATACACTTCGAACAATTAACGTAGTTGCGTGATGTCTCCGACCTTCATCCTATTCATAGCTATATTAAAATTATTATCTTCACGAAGATTTTTGTATGTTACCAATAATCACTTGTTCGTAGTTACAATGTAAAAAAATGTTTCAAGGCTGACATCGAACACAACTTCATCCCTTTGTTCTTTTCGTATCCCAGGTGGTACAAGGCTCGGAAGGTCAAATACTAGTCAGTCTTCCAGTACAAGGAACATGGTCGAAGATGCACAGCTACACACCAGTATGGTTCCAGCCAGGACCTCAGAGCTTGTTACCACATCATTTCAATCCACCGCACTCACTACCATTGCTGACACCACAGTGGGCGCGGCGGCTAATCCTGTTGTTCTTCTTGCTGCATCCGTGTCCGGTGCCATTGTGGGGACTGCGATTCTGTTCAGCATCACGTTCTTGGTTCTGCGCAAGACATGTCCGTCACGCAACGCAGATCCGACTGGGGATGTGCACTTGCGTCATGGAGCCAATCCTCCCGACACCATTGATCGCTATACCAGTTCAGGTCGGCGAAAGAGTCCCGCTCAACCACAGGTTTCAAACTTGGAATTGAAAGCCGGTCCTCCGAATCCAGTCGTGCCTCACTGCCAGAGTACCGTTCTTAGATCATCGTGTGCATGGCACGTGGAGCCCACTGAATGTAGGGCTTATGGATGCACTAGCCAGCAACCAGAAGAAGCAATATATTATGAAATACCTTGAATGTGACGTGCATCTAAACAGTTTCTCCATTCACGCAGAATTCCAGACCCTTTAAATCAATTTGATTTTAAATTTGGTTCCAAACCCGGATCTACAAGTATGCTACTATTATTCTTTGCTAGGTATTTCGTAATGCACATACTATAGTGTCGCTTGCCTGAATTTCTCACACGTTCAAGGGTTGTTGTGTGACAATGGCTTTTCACACCTTAAAGCTTAATTTTGCCCAGAATATTGTTTTGATATAGTAGCGAAAGCTGCGATACCAAATTATTTGTACACACACTTGAATGTACTTGTTTTCCCCCAGCCTATTTCTACATCATCTTAGACTGTATTAGGTGAGCATTCCCTTCACGAGCACTCTCATTCGTAGGGTTCAATTTTCCTCTTGAGATGTCGTGAATGTTTGGATATTTGTTCTTTAGCATTGACGTTCATGAGATACATGTAGTTCGTGGAGTATAGGATGTGGCGTTGTCGAATAGAGTTAACCTGCCTGCATAGCTTGGATAACCCGTCCAGACATGTTTTGTGAAATCGCACACTATACAGCGCTGCGAAGTGCACAGAAGACCTGACGCCTCCGAAAACAGACTATCATTATGTATACACTTTACCACCTGCTATTTTCTTCCCCGAACCGTAGGCACTGCGTGCCTTGATTATTATTTGCTAACTTCGCACTGTTACACCTTGCTTGGTTTCTTGCGCCCTACTATATACAATACATATTTGCCATGTGAATTATTCTTTTACTTGAAGGAAAGATACAAACGGGAAAATTCTGAAACAAAATATTAATATTTTCTGTCGCCACAACGATTCGAACTAGGCACCTTCGCTTGAGGCCAGCGATGCGTGTAAATTGCATAATCTTATTCAGAATCATTTCCCATGACGAGCCTGTGGTAGAAAAAAACAGCTTTCAGAAGGAATATTAGCAGTAACCATACTTGAAGTATCCGCGTTCACCGATTTGACTGGGCAGAAGTCGTGATGCAGGGCTGTGTATCTGCCGCTAGTTGGTGGAACATTTTTGTGTGTCTTCTAACCACACGCAGGCTTCATTTCAGCCATTCGCACATTAAAATCATTAGACCTCAATACACATACTCTAGTACGGTCTCTTTGGTGCCTGGGTTTCCTCAACAGATTTGTAGTACGGTTATTAGTTTATATACATTTAGCCTGTTTTAATTACCATGAAGATAAGCCTATTATCAAGAGTAGATAAACAAGAGTGTGCAACTCGCGGATGGGTTGGCCCACGGCGGAATTTTTTGTTGACGTAATCTTTTCGACGACGCACGCGCTGCGAGCCTTTTGGAGAGGTTTCCCTCGTGCACTTGGCCGGGCTTTACACTACAAGGTCGGTGCCCAGCACGTGCTCTCACACTGCTGTGCGGCAAAGTCCGCGTTTCTCTGAAAAAAGGTGACGTCAACAAAAAATTCCGCCGTGGGCGGGGGTATCTGCAGATTGTGCAGGAGAGATCCGGAGTTGCACACTCTTGTTTATCTACTCTTGCTATTATACACGGACTTGTGTCTCGGAAATGCGTTTTCAAATATGGAAAACGTCGGTTTGATTTGTTTAAAAAGAACTTTCCGCATTGGGTTTGACCCGGTGAAAACAGAAACCCCATTCTTTGTTTGGAATATGAAATTCATGGCAAGACATTCCAGAAGCTGGAAAGGTGATCATGTGACTACTGTCGGTGGAACTGGGAGTTTCAACATAACGATTATCTCTCTCTCTCTCTTTCTCTCTCTCTCTCTGCCGTTCCCTCTGTCTCTGTCTCTCTGTCTCTCTCTCTCTCTCTGTTTCTGTTTCTCTCTGTCTTCTCTCTAGATATCTTTGTCCCTCTCTGTCCCCTCTCTCTCTATCTCCTTCTGTCTCTTTCTGTCTCTCTGCTTCTGTCTGTCTATGGCTGTCTCTGTATCTGCCTCCTTCATTTTGTCTCTCCCTGCTCCTAATGTGTGAATGGTTATGCTCGTGGGGTTCACCGTGAGCTCTGATAGCGGCAGTAGCAAATTTTGTGAACTGAAATCAAGCTTGTTTTGCATGTGTCTGTATATACCATTTTATAATATAATTACTACTGTTACATCGGTAATGCGTGATGTACTCTAGTTCGGGAAAGGAGATGTCTTTCCTGAACATCTTGTCACACATACCTTTTACTTGCAGATGCACACAGATCTGCGCCACTTTTAACTATTCAGCATTCGGAGATGCCACAAAGTGCGTCAATAAAGTTTTTAATTGGCTGCTGGTACGTGCCCAGTCCTGTACAGCGTCAGATATGCCAAACAGCGGCTTGCACACATTTGGAATTGCTTTGGTAATCAAAGGGTGAAGAAGAGTATGACGAGTTCAGGTCGCGACTAATTTGACGCGAAATCTACCACAAACCTGCCCGCTGGCATGGTCCTGTGAATGCCTTACATCCGAAGTGTCTAGGCTAGCCTGGCTAACATCCGAACGCCTTCAGACAATCACAAATACAGAAGTGGCCAAACGAAGCACGTTTGACTAATTTAGACTATGTATGGTTATTTTGGCAGATCGCGTACTGAACAATGGTCTGCAGAAACATTGCAGGGCAGATATGCCAAATCGCCGTTCTCCCCAACCATAAACTGCAGTGGTTCAACTCGTAACTAACGTCGACTTCACAAATTAACCATGGAATTTAGGCTGAATCAAGTTGTAACTCGGAGTTTTACAGTCATCGTCAGACTGCTGGCCCTGCCCTCGTTCCAAAGAGCACATAGTTTGTAAAGTCAATTTAAAGCGTCCCAACCCGCATTGTAACTTGCTCACGACTGTCGATATGTCCAGTAAAATACATTGTGACTTGATAGAAATACAGCGTTAACAGGAGTGAAATTGATAGTGCTAGTCTCCAATGAAGCATTACTGAGCAGAAGAAGAGTACAAATAATTGTCTAAAGTTATACACGCATGCGAGGAAAGGCGAAATATTAAGTGTTATAACTAGCATTCTGTAAAACTAAATTCATAGTCATCTGTCACAGAAAGGCTCTAATGGTTCCTAACGTGAGTGAGGTTTCGTCGTGAAAAATGAGTCGGCACTGGATCATGGGACTGACCACGACTGGTAAGTGTCTTTGGTTCACCATTCAATAAGTACATGTATAGCATTAAATACACATTAGGTAAAACAAGTCAGCCATCATTCATTTCCTTCTGGAAAAGCTGAAAGTGTCAAATCTAAGAACCCTGTTACGCTTTTTGAACAATTCTGAGGAGGCTGCTCTAATTATCCATTCGTACTGTGCCCATAAGCGTGCGTACGGGTTACAGAGTTGTTACAGTCCATGGCGTATAGCATGCGTTGGTTTGGTGCTAACTAGGCCGGTTGCAAGTAAGACTTTGCTTCACATTCTTTGTTTTTTGTTCTATGCAGGAGTCATCTTACTCATAATCAGCATCACATCATGCCAGTCACGAAAATGTATGTCATTCGATGGCCAACGTGGCTCACCAGATAGTTCCTACGACGGGGTGGATTTTGACAGTGATCCGACTCTACCTCGCGCGTTCAGGAACGTAGGGTTTGTCAATGAAGACGTGTCGACTTTTAGGTTTTATAGTACATGCAATATGAGACTGAGGAAATTGTCCCTCCGAATGGGTCCCAACACAGAATGTTTAGTATCCGCTATCATAAGAAGAAGTAGACTGAGGGTAGCCAGGACAACAATGTCTACCATCCACCGCTGCTTGTCGAGCACTTTCTGCGACAAAGTCATAGATTTTTGGAATCTAGGAACGCCCCAGGTTGACATGAGAGTGCCACCTGTGCTCGAGGTGACGGGCAGAACGATAGGTCTGCGTGGTGCGTACAATTGCACTGTTCTCACATCTGGCTCCGGCAAAACACTTTGGACACTAAATTTGCGTTGTAAGTACATGTACCGGTATCCTTTTGCATTTGTCAATTATACATATTGTACATCATTGTCTCTCTCTAACTCCCG